ATTTCTCCAAGAGTAATAAGCATTTTTCTGAGATCTCCGAAATAAACAGATTGTTCACTAAAGAGTTTTGGCCATCCTAAACCTAGTAGTGCTAGTCCTTTTCTAATTCGATGCTAGATGAAAAAAACAGAGAAAGAGTTCAACGTTGTCAATTTTAATTACGCGTTGCGTGCACGGTGAATTCTCATAATGTCAATTTGAGTAATTCGCGATAATTTTAAATCGAGAACAAAACATAACCACTTTTTTCAGCATAGTCAATTTGTTTATTTTGTCAGTCTCAAGTAAATGCGTATATCTTGCCAACAAAACTATCTGTAGAGATCGAAAAGTTTTGATTTTCTCTATGAAATGACTATCTTAAATATCAAAATGCGATAAAATTACATTTAAGAATAGTTTTCATAATAGTCGCTGAAAACTCTTCATTGTTCGATTTTTACTGAATACCGCCGACCGGTGACATATTGCATAGGTGTGTTATTCCTTATACATGAAAATTTATTATTTTTTTTTTATACATAACAGTTCTTATTTTATAGATCAACATGTCAGGACGAAATTTCTTCCTTATTTTTCGCAAAATAATCTCAATCACTTGTGTCACTTGTTTCTGTACACTAATAATTTTAACTGATTTTTTTTTTGTTTTCTGATTTTTATACTTCCAGTATTTCAATAATTTATTTCTACTGTATCTCTCAATATTAAACGAGAGGGAGACCAATGATTTCTAGTACCGATTCCGGTCAAAGAAAAAGTTGTCCTTGCTTCCAACTGAGAAAGTAAGTTTTTCGTAGTACCAATCCCAATCTGGTGAAACTAAGATCAAGTTGCTCTTATCTAGTCATTATAGGTTATCTTATTATCAGCGACGTATTTAGGAGGGAAATGGGAAATGAATCCCCTCCCTAACATGTTTAAATACCTGAAGGGAATACGGGTTTATTATTTTTCCCAACTTAAATATTATCATTTTTCCACGGCATCCCCCTCCTCCTCTAAAAAAATTTCTGAATATGTCGCTGCTTATTATACTATCAATTTAAATGAAGTTAAGTATTACACAACGTTTCACTTCAAAAGTATCCTATGTTAATATATAATACATTCGAAGAAAATAATATTCAACAAGTCTTTTTTTCTTTTAATTGCTGAGAAAGTCTATAAAAAGAGTAATGAATGTACCTTGACTATATATATTGTTAGGCGAGTGTTCTTCAAGGTGAGATTGTGCAAAAATATCTTCATCTAAGGTTAATGTAAGTTCTTTCAATTGATGTTCTATTAGTGATGATAAATTTTGAATTGAAACTTCTGATATATAATATCGAGTCAAATTAAGTGATTTAAGATTAGGAAAACAAAGAATATATTTGTTATTATTAAGAAAATCACAAGAATTGGAATATCGTCCATCTAAATGAATACGTCGAATAGAAGATATGAGAGATGATGATTTTGAAAATAATGGAAATAATATTCTTGAAAATTTATCATACGATAAACCTGGTCTATTAATAATAATGGAATTATTATTAGTTTCTAATGTTGAACAAATAAGAAAATCAAGTCGTTTATTTAATGACCAAAAACTTATTAACATTTCATCCCAAAATAAATGAGATAATATACAAATCAATATTTCATTTGGTAATATTTCTAATCTAGTAATCATTGTATCTGAAAAATAAATTACGAATATTTTCATATCTTTATTGTTTCCAAATATAAGTTTGAATTTTTTTTTTTGTCATTTAACAGATAATAAAAATTATCATTTTGAATAATGATATAAATAATCTAATAATTGAATATATAAATCAAATATCAAAGGATAAATCTATTTCTGACATTATTCTATATAAAAGTATCTGTATCTAATACCAATAGAATGAGTAGCATACTTACACATTGAGAAAAAGAAGAGTGTTATTCAAAATTAGAATTTTCAATTCTATTGAAAAAATTTTTTAATTTCATTACAAATTAATTTTCTAAACAGAATATACACTCTCGATGACCTAGTATGTAATGCACAAGAAAAATTTATCTTCATTGTTCATTTTTCTCTTTAGGTAAACCAATTGGACCGATTTATTCGAATTTGACGGATACAATCTATTTTTCGACGGACGTCTTTCTTTTTTCAATTATTCACGTAAGAGAAAAAAAACAACTGCAAAAGAGATACACTTTTAACAATAAAAACATGAGAAAAACGACATGATTTGTTCATTCTTCGTTGTAAGGTAGCGACAATGCAAAATTTCAGTACAATGTTTTTTTCGTTCATTTATATATGGTTTGATAGAGCTTGAAAAACTGATCACGAATATATATTTTTTATTTCGATTCGATTACTGTTTGGCTGAGAAAAGTGCTAAAAACGTCGAATGACTACAAATGTCATATATTCTAAACCTATCTAGTTTTTTGTAACAAGAGATAGAAGCAAGTGTCTTATCTCATTCGAATCGCCAGATCATGGGCTACAAAAGTTACGACTTTGTTGTTTTTAGATTTTGTTTTATTCTTGAGAAAATTGCGTTTTTTCGTCATTTTGTGGCAAAATTGACTAAAAGCATGGAAAATGTGCTCGTATTTAGCAGTTTTCATTATCATGGCTTAGCGAACAAGCGAAATAGATAGCATATTCGGAATCCGCATCAAAAACTACATAGAATCATATATGTTTTAAGAATTTTTTTCCGACCAAAAATCCACCTGTGGTTCTCCTCAGGTCTTTTTTTCTAAAATTTTGCCCCTGGTCTCCCATGGGTCGATTTTTGGTCGGAAAAAAATTTCTTAACACATATGATTCTATGTAATTTTTCATGCTGAATCCGATTATGCTATCTATTTTGCTTGTTCGCTAAGCCATGATAATGAAAACCGCTAAATACGAGCACATTTTCCATGCCTTTATTCAATTTTGCCACCAAATGAGGAAAAAGCTCAATTTGCTCAGGAATAAAACAAAATCTAAAAGAAACAAAATCGTAAGTTTTGTAGCCCATGATCTGGGGACTCGAATGAGATAAGACGCTTGCTTCTATCTCTTGTTACAAATACGTACTTTTGAGTATGTTGAGGTATCTATATTGAACAGGACTTTTTTAAATTTTTTTAGCTTTAAATCTAATCTAATAATATTTTCTTATTCAGTTTTTCACTCTGATTCAGAATATGATATTTTGAAAAAGTTTAACAAAATAAATGTCCTTCAAATTTAACAATATCTGTAAAAGAAGCGCGATAAAACTGCATATATGACATTTGTAGTCATTTGACCTTTTTCACACTTTTCTCAGCCAAACAGTGATCTAATCGAAATAAAAAATATATATTCGTGATCAGTTTTTCAAGCTCTATCAAACCATATATAAATGAACGAAAAAAACATTTTACTGAAATTTTGCATTGTCGCTACCTTACGTATACTTCGCGTCTATAGAAACTTGTCTATGATTAAACCAAATTAAAAAATGTATTTTTTCAGATGAAACTAATTGATCTTATTCATTAAAGAG